ATATATATATATATATATGTTTGTATATATATATGTATATGATCATGTATTGTGTGAACTTTCGCTGTACCCTACATGTTCTTACTTGACATTTCCAAATCTATTTGCCTGCTGCTCTACTTATGGCTTTTATAAAAAGATATTCATTAGAAACTTATGCCCTATATCTGCGAGGTAACGAAAGAGGCCTTAGCTGAGTAATCACCACTAATTCTGCTTTGTTTGCATGTACGCTACGACAAACTTCGCTCCGCGATGACCGCTGTCGTTTAAATAAGCATTTGTCACCTGACCACTAAGGTGTGACCGACGCATAACATTTGACTTTAGATGTATTGTCCATGGAGGGTTTATGCCTTTCCAATAAGGCATGTCACTGCCATCAAAGCGGACGGCCACCTTGATTCCAAGGTGTGTCTTTATTGTTATTTCATTCCCTTTGATCTAGGTTCGTCCATCTGACGTGGTAGGATTGTCTCATGTTTGTCAAGCACGCCTACGCTGTCTATCGAAAAAAATTCTTTAATCTTCGCATGCTATATAAGTAATCTTAATTTTAAAAAGCTTAGTACCATATGGCAAATTTATACGGAAAAATTGTCTTACAATTGTTATATAGGTCTATAAACAATATTAAACATAGTAAACAAAACCATATGACAGTCAATAAAAAATGTTCAGATCAACTAAAATTATGCAAAACACTTTTAAAATTTTGCTTTGAGATATTTTGTCTGAGATATGTTGTCTGAGATCATTTGTCCATGATATCATTTGTCCTGATATATTTTGTCCTGATATCTTTTGTCCGAGAGTTATTTGGTCTGAGATCATTTGTCCTGTCTCCATATATATGTGTATATATATATATATATATATATATATATATATATATATATTATATATATATATATATATATATATATATATATATATATATATATATATATATATATATATATATATATATATATATATTCCTATATTACGGAAAAAAAACTTTTGCCGAACGACCCCCTTGATATTGTGTAGTGTGGTAGGAGAACGCCTAGTTTTGTCATAAAAAACTCGCAATATCTGGGAAAACTTCCTGAAGTGGTCAAAAATGACCAGTCGAATATAACTAAATAATCTTTCTATTTTAGGTGAAAAACAGAAGTTCATTTCAAAACATTTTTTAGGGTACATATTCTCAGTAAATCTGGCTAATTATTGCAAGCTTCTAAATAAATTGCTAGGCCGTATAGAAAATGTGGCGGCTTGACTCAAAGCTCTCGACGAGGGCTAAAAGATGACCACGATTAAAATTCTCTTGATTTGAGCTATATATCGAAAAAAAATTTACCGAACGACCCCATGATATTTCGTCAGGTTGTAGAAGAACGCCTTTTAGGAGGTCCGCAAAGTTTGCATTCACTTTTGTTTTTATTATCGTAAGTTGAATTTATTTTTAAATTACCTCCCTTGGAAAATAAAACAAAACAGTTTAATTAATTCGTTTTTATGACAATTATTATTAAATTGTATTTACTTTTTCTAGGAATCAAAACGAAAATGATATTTGACATTGCTCTATTTAATATGTATTAGCAATGCGTATGTATTTAATATTTTATATGGAAAAGAGTAAAAACAGTGGCAACTATAAAATATATTCAAGTCGTTATATAAACAAACTCTACTCTATTACTTATAATAAGACACTGCATAGGAAGTAAAAAGCACGACATGTGATGTGTTTACTGTTATGGTTCCAAATCTATAGCGATGAAAAGAGGAAGGACTTCCACAATAACAGTCCGCCAATATTATAGATTTATATATATATTTATATACTAAACTACCCGTGATCTAGTTAGATAACTGGGTTTCGGGGGTCATAAATGACATCACGTACGTCACTCATCATCACAAAATAACCAGACCCCACGTTCAAAGAGACGTTTTTTATCTCTTAAAAACACCGGTTTCGGTTAAACATGGGTCTGGCCACACTATTCCTTCATATAATGACGTCACGGATGACCTACTCAACTCTACTTAGCCTGCCCAGTGTCCCGCCAAGTCTCAGACAACATGATTTTATCGTTTAGAAAAACGATTCCGGACGTGCATTTCTCTGACCACAATATCCGTTCATATGATGAGGATAAAGAAACAGGTGAACTCTACTTCACCTGCCAGGTATCCCGCCAATTTCAGATAGGTAACTTTAATATTCACATTTTTAAAAAAATTGAACATTTTCTTTTTTAACATTGAGATGATGTGTCTAGAACCCGTGCCACTCGCATGGAAGTAAATCACACTAACAACTTAGCTATCTAGATTCTCGACGTTGTGAAACTGGATTTACGTCCATAGGCCCCAGATTTAGATCTAGATCTAGTATCTTTCAAATTAAATGTTAATTTAAATTAGCCAATTTCATAGCTAAACAAAGATATATATATATATACATATATATATATATATATATATATATATATATATATATATATATATATATATATATATATATATTGATATATATATATATATATATATATATATATATATATATATATATATATATATATATATATATATAAAATCATGAAGGTCTTAAATAGTTTAGTCCTTAACTCGTTATTATCTAGATCTAGATAGCATTATCTAGATTCTACGACTGTTTTCATCAGTCTAGCTTTTGCCGTAACTCTTGCCAGATCTAGACCTAGAACCTAGATCGATAAATCACCTGTATTCTTGAATTAGGTGATCCGTGAAGCTAAAAATGAAAGATTTATATATCAAATATTTAAGGACTAAAATATTTTAATAAAGAAACTCAAAAAATTATTATGATTTTAAAATAATTTGGTTCGACCTAGATTCTAGATCTATAAATAATTTATTTAGTCTTAGTGTAGTAATGTTTTTTTGGTCCTTTGTCTCATTTGTTGAGCGACGCACTGAATAACACATAATATTCATTATGTAAATTACAGCTTACGCTCTAAATTATGCAATTACAATTGTGTTAAGTAAAATAGTGCCCTACTCTTCATACATTGTTGTTTACAAAAAAAAAATATTTATTACCCCTATAAATGTGTAGCTGAATCCATGAAAAAATCAGCAACCCAAAGATTAGATTCTCGGTAACTGTCTTGATTGAGCTCCTGTTTCTGGAGTGTATTATGGCTTGAATACGTGAAGCTATACACACGGAAATAAATTTAGCTCCCATTAAGAAGATTCATTAAATATTTTAATATAACAGGAAGAATATCACAAGATCTTAGAAGAAAACAATTTTATTTAATATTTGAGTTTTATCTACAAAATAATACATAAAAGTGCTATAGTATAAAATATACAATATAAAACTAGCCGTCAGCGGCTAGAATTTGCTTCAGACATTTATAGCCATGTCTAAAAATAATTTTTCATGTTGTTTTCCATTATATCATATAATTTCCTTTGCACTTTATTTTCTTGAACCAAAATAAAGACTAAAATATGTTTAATCCCGAAAAATTTATTTTCGTGTGTTTACTTTGCATATTATGAATTCTGCATTTTTCTGGTTGTCCTAAAAGCTATTCATCTACATTCTTAGATGAAATCATACATAATAAGGTCGTGTTGCATTATAATATTTCGATTAATGTAAAATCACGTACGTTTAAAATGAAGACCTTAGTGCTAAAAGTACTTAAGTCACAAAAACAACATTTTGAGAAAAATGAGTTCAAAGATTAAAATTTACTATGAAACATTACGTTTTTATATTATTTGTTTGTTTCGAAGAGCAAATTAAACAAATTCTTCAGTATCACTATTTGTTTACAAGATAAAGTTAAACTAGAGGAATAACGATCAATGCTTGGTTTGATTTTCACAAAAATGTGACTTAAGTACTTTTAGCACTGGGCTCTTCAAATAGCTTATATTAAGCCATTTAATTCTTGAACATTGGTAACATAATACGGAATAATATATTGGAGGGACGGCTTCTCACCTGATAAATAATGACAACTGTATGCTAAATGATTGACATCAGCTTTGTCAAAGTAATTTACACTGCAACAGTACCAGCCAGCGTCTTGGGCTTGTAGGCCATTGATTTTTATAGCAAGCTTTGTTAAATTTTTGATCATTCTCTTGTTGGGCTTCACGTCTTCATGAAATCGAATCGGGCGCCAGTGAATTTTTTCAACAGGTTTGATTAGACCTACGTCTGGGTTCTGTGCTCAAAAAATGCATTGGATTTAACTTAAATGTTTAAAATATATATCAATATGTTTATAAAAATATATATAAAAATATGTCTATAATATATATATATATATATATATATATATATATATATATATATATATATATATATATATATATATATATATATATATATATATATATATATATATCCACATATTTTTTTATAATTCGCAAATTCAAGCCATAATAATAGTTACTTTACTATCTCTATACTACTAAAACTTAAGTTTGTTTACATGTTTGACTATTTATTTCTTTGATGTTTTGTTTGTCTGATTGACTACTGGAGATAATCTGTTATATGTGTAAAGCTGTAAAATAGTATGTAGGTAGAGAACAATTTTTGTTTTCAGACAGACTGTTAAGCACACATTTATTTAAAGACGTTAATTAATTTATTGATTTATTCATTGGTAGATTAACCACATTATTTTTAAAAGTTTCAAAAAGTGGCTTTACTTTTACTGAATTGTGACGTCACATGATTTGTTTACTTTTTACATAAACAATGTCGGCTTCTATCGAAGAAGATTGTGTTCCCATTCCAATGTTTAACACGTTCTAAAGAGAATTTTTCTGTCGGCTATAACGTTAACAATACGCCCGTTTGCTGTATTTATTATGTTCCAACACTTATATCAATTTTGTACTGTCTTTTTTATTTAGTTTTACAATAAATTTGTCTAGATTTATAGATCAGCTGTCAAAGGAAGAAAAATTTATAAATCTAGATCTAGATCAGGATCTAGATCTAGATCTAGGTTACTAGACTAAACGTAAAATTGAAATCTAGTACCTATAATCTATATACTAAACTATTTCAGGCCTTAATTATTTTATATAAATCTTTGTTTAGCTATGGAATATGCTAATTTGGAAATGCTTGACCTAGGGCCTATTTGCGTAACTTAAGATTCATACGCAGATTCTATACCGCTAATTTTTCTAAAATTGACTTAACATAAAATTATACTTCTTGACAACGTAAATTCTAGATCTAGCTCTATCTAGATATACTAAACTATTTTAGGCCTTAATATTTTACTTTATATAAATGTTTGTTTCTTTAGCTATGGAATAGGCTGATTTGGGATAATATTAAATTTAAAATGCTCGATCTAGGGCCTATTTGCGTAACTTAAGTTTCATACAAGGATTCTATGCCGCTAAATTTGCATATATTTGTAACTTTACAGATAGGTGAGTTGATAGTGCAATCGCCTACCGTATGTGTGGTACGAGTTTGAAACACATCTTGTAAATATTAATTATTTTAATTTTTGTAATTTTTTAGCGCAATTTCCATTCTGGAGAATTGCGTTTATTAACTCGTCATTTCTGGGAATGGATGGATGGATGGATGAATGAATGAATGGATGAATGTGTGTCCGGGCTTTAAGTCGTATCTCCTCCTCAACGAAGCAATATCGATGACTAGTTCCAAAAGCAATTATGTTAAGCAAGTTACGAGAATGAGCATAGGCCATAAAAATTCCGGGTTTCTTTCATGTATTTCCCGTAAAAGCCAAAAAACCTCGAAAAAATGCAGTTTTTGGCCCATATCTCGGCAACCAGACCACTTAGCGACTTGAAACATGTACCAATCGATTCCTGCCATAATTTAGAACAATATTGCCGAAGAAAGTTTTCAAACATATCCTCTCGTTGGATCACAAATTTTAAAATTACATAAACACCTACAACCCGATCGCTCTTCTAGCTTGAACGCACCCCATCATTATACGTCAGAGCTATTTTTAGATAACATAAAGAAATTGCGCATAAATGTCACTAGACTTTTTTAATTAACTTGCGCGCCTACTGAACGTGATGGCGCAGCCATGGAACGCGATGACGCATCTATTGAACGTGATGACGCGTGTGGTGTGGTTGTATATACATGCCGGAAGTAGAGATCTATCATCTTAATGATTATCATGTTGATAATCAAGTTCAACTAATCAATGGTTTTAATAACCCTGCTCTTGATTTCAAGGTGCTTAGTTTAGTTAGTAGTTAGGTTTATTTAATAAAAAACGTTTTAATAACTAACCAATGGTTTTACTAACCCTGCTCTTGATTTACGCTACGACAGAGCTATTTTTAGATAACATAAGGAAATTGCGCTAAAATTGTCACTAGACTTTTTAATTAACTTGTTTTATAGATATGAATGATAAAGTTAGCGTGTGTTATAATTTTCACACTCGGTTCATTTCCATGGTAATCATGGCGGTGACTTTAGACATTGTTCGTGAGGCCTATAAATTCGGGTATACTATGAGCAGACCTGTTCATTTCGTGACACGGTGTGTAAGTAGTACAGTCGCGGAGAGGCATTCAGCCCCTAATCTTTGTTCAAAAGAAAATTCTATTTCTTAATTTAAGAGGACTAGCGTCCCACTTATGGGACGCTTGTAAAAAAAATTGCTAAAATTTATTAAGAACTAGTTAAAACACAAATTATGTTTCATTGTATTTGAAAATGGTTAGACTATTGAATTTGTGTGTGTTTTGTGAAAAAAATTAATTTAGAAAAATGTTATAGCGCCGGATTTGCAGGACTTGTCAAAATGGCGGAAAAAAGAAAACATGCGCACAGGAAAATGCATATCTTCTAAAATATTAACATTTTAAGTGCAAAATACAATTGACACTTGTAGCAGTACTATATTTCTATCTGATAAAAATTTAAAGAATAACAATTTTTTTTACTACTTCGTTATATCAAGTGAACAACAAGCGTCCCATAAGTGGGACGCTAGCAACGAATGGCCCCATGTAGATTGTTAAACAAACGTCACATTTATTTGACACTAGCGAGAAACACATATGCAAATGTTTATGTTAAATGGTTATTTATGGTGAAACAATTGTTGACTTTGTTAACTGCTGACTTTGGGGTGTTAAGTGCTGGTTATAGATATTTAATTATGACCTTGACCTATATTTATGCAGATTGTTACACAAACGTCACATTTATTGGACACTAGCGAGAAACACAGATGCAAATATTTATGTTCAATGGTTAATTATGGTGAAACAATTGTTGACTTTGTTAACTGTTGACTTTAGGGTGTTAAGTAGTACTTATAGATATTTAATTATGCCCTTGAGCTATATTTTCTTATATATTATTGTATTAAAAATTGCAAATATTGAAAAACTTACATTTTATTTTTAAGTTTTCAGAATTACGCTTACTGAAGTATTTAATACCATTGAATACAAACTAATTTAATATTGCTGTAAATTTACTAGCGCGTGATATTAAAATTATAACAAACCAGAATAACAACAATGGCCACTATTGAGGTGAAATGATTCAGTCAAGGGGGTTGGTTAACTCTCTTCATATAAGAGCTTAAGCTACATATAGCAGAAATGTGAATTAGCTGTGTACTAGTGTCATACCCCAAGAATATTCCCATCCAAAGGTTCCCGATACCAGTTTTACTTTGTTAACTTTTTAATGATGTTCCTGGTGTTAGATTGGGAGCTGTTCGCATAGTGAAGTGCATACATGGATGAGAGCCATGAACACTCAATACAAGCCCCCAGAGACGGATCCGTGCCCTAGAAATAAGATGTCTGATGTCCTAATGTACGCCTGTGAGGGTGAGGGGGGAAAAGCGAGGGTAACAAAAGAGAAGATGGCTAGATGACATCTGGGACTGGACCGGATCGTCTTTTGCAAATTCACTGAGGGCAGAGTTTCTTTCAGGCATCATTTCGGAGAGGGGTGGGGGGGGGGGGCTCTGCCCCCAGAACAAAATGGAATTTATATACAAAACATACTTTTACCAATGTCCACCCTTCCCCTGAAATTTAAGTCCCCCGTCCCCCCTGAAAATTTCAAGTACGCCCCCCCATAAAATCAATTATTTATATTTAATTATATTACTGTTTCGATGAATAATAACAATATTTGTGATCATGTGTGTATAATTAGATGTACTAGTCAAAGCTTTACTTATTTCCAAGTGTTGTTCACTTTGATGGATGCTAGATTGAAAGAAAACTAGACTTTTAAACAAAATTTTTGCATTTTAGATCATGGTATGGCTAACCCAATTGATCATTATCATTATTTTTAGCTGTCCTAAACAATGTAATCATTGGTCTAACAATACAAAATCAGTATACAGCTTAATTTTCGCGTGATTAGCCATATTTCATGATAAATGATTTTATTTTTCAATAAATGTACATGGGGCCGTTCGTTGCTAGCGTCCCATTTATGGGACGTTTTTTAAAAAATCGATATTTAAAAAGGTATTGATTTTTTAAAAAAAATCCATAGTCATTCCTTCATTCAGTGCCCAAAAGCTAAATCATATCAAAAAATTATAAAAATTTGAGACCTTGGGATAATATGGGTTAATTATATGGTAAGTAAATATTTTTTTTTTGTTTCCTAATTATTTCTTATTGATGAAATGTGGATTATTGACAACTTTAATAAGAGCTCGGCGTGGTCGAGTCGGTAAAGCTCATGGTTGCTAAACCGAAAATTCTCGCGTTCGAACCCTCGGGCAGATGAAGTTCATTAGCTGTGGACAACCACTCTTCTTGGAGATACAACTCCGAAATCAAACAACTGCTGCCTTGTAGTTTGTTCTTGGTTGGACAAAGGCTATGGAAGCAAATCCAAAAAGAAAAGTAGGCTGAAATCGGAGTCAATGGCGCATAACCAGTTGACACGTAATCCTTAATTGTGATGGAAGCATGGTCAAGTCGGCAAAGATCAAGGTTGATAAATTCGAAAAAAAAAGTCTCGAGTTCAAACCCTCTGGCAGATAATGCTCGATCCCTCCCAACACTCAAAATTAAGAACGAAGAAGAAGAAGAAGAAGACAACTTTAATTGTACCGTGTACTAAATTAGTTTAAAACTGGGATCATTGACCCCCGGATTAGTCAAAAAAGCTTGGAGTAAGCATTCGCCTAATTTCGCGCCAAATCTT